CGTTTAAACATTTCGTTTGTTTATTATGCTAAGCCGCTATTGAACAATGGTTTAATCGAATTCAACTCAAACCTAGTCTTCTTCAGAAAAGACTAGACTTTTTTATATAATTATTGTATAATGTGACCTAGACTAATTTATGCTAGATGGAAGGTAGTGCATAATTTAAAACCTTTTTACCGGTTATACAATACTTAATTAATACCTCTAACGTTAATCCGCTCTTTCTTCGAATTACGTAAGATATCAGTATACGGACTTCCAGTCAACATATCTAATATGTTGTTCTATATAAAATTATTTTAAAAAAGCGTCCGACTCACGTAATTCGGTTTGTTTTCTGTTTATTCTATTTATTATTATTGTTATAATTTGGCTAACCATAACTGAAGCCTTGATTACAATTCAATTTAACGTTAATTTAAAATAAACCTGAACTAGCTAAGGTTCAGTCTAAACTTGATATGAACCGGATTTGTTTCAATTACCGAAGCTGTTATTTTAAATTATATCTATCTATTGATGCTGTATCTATTTTAGTTGGACAAATTATTAATTTCGCATAATTCAATTGATTCGAATGTTCTTTTTTTATAAACGGCAAAATCATTATCAATTTTAATCGACAAATTGTGACTTTATGCTGTCTTACCATTATTTCCACTTGAGTCATATGTAAGTATGAATAAAGTAATTTTATATTATTCTGTAAATGCAGAATCATACCATATGACTCAAATACGAAAATGACTCTTGATTCAAATTGAGCTAAATATTTACATATTTACATATTTATTAATTGCAAAGACATTTTATTTGTATTAATTAAAAGTACGTGTGAGATTGGTTTCTGTTTAAAATTGGTATTTTAATTATTAACATCATTATACGTAAACTCAACTAATCTTTGTCTTGCAATCTAAATTTTTAATTTGACGTAACGTAATATGTATGACATATTGCTCATTGTTTACAGTTTTTAATCATAATGACTCATTATTTATTTCAGATAATCTAATTAACTTTTATGTCCAATCATTTTGTGCATTATCGTTATGATGCCCACAACATATCAGGTATGCGGGAAAAAATTGCAGACATTATGACTAGTTCACTTACAAAACACGTGATTAATATTTGAATAAACATGCAAATTAATGTTTCAGGTTGAGACACTTTCCAAAGTCTGAATTATTTCGCTATATAATAGGAATAATTTCACAAAAAATATAGCAATTTCGCACTTTTAACGTCAACGTGAAATAATTTCGTGCGGGTGAATATTTCAGATTCACTTGAATACTAAATATCAATATTTAAATGCATATATTAATTTCAATTGTCGATTTCATTCAACAAAGCATAATTAACCTGTATTAAAGTTACTTCCTACACTATCGTTGTTGGTTATATCTAACTTCAACTGTTATGACAAAAGCTATAACTATCGCTAGGAATTAATACTGAATCTCTATTTATTCTCTTAACGAATTTTGCAAATCTCCGCATCGAGACGACATTAATTACATTTTCTCACATATAAATATACTAATAAAATGTATCGGTGGATTTAAATAAAATGAATATTTTTTTACCTATCAACTCTAGACTCTCTCTCATCATGGTCTTTGTTCTCATCAGGTGATCAATAATTTCGATAAATAACAAACTATAAGTTTCTGACTCCTCACCTACAAACATAAATCAAACAATGAAATAATGCAACCTTCGAGAGAGCTAACGCTTTTAAACTAAAACAAAAGGTTAAACTACGTACTGTATCTCGAATAATTGATTTAGACAGACAATGTCTCCATAAATATAATATTAATAAAAGTAGCACATTTGTCGTTTAAACCTGTTAATTTTGAGATCATTTCGTACAGTGAACTTTTTGTGATTAAAGCTGAAGTTACTTTTTATTGTCGTTTTCAATTATTAAAACGTTGTATTATCGAAAGGTGTTACAACATGTTTATATAGATAATTTATTACTTTCAATAGATATCTTGGAGAACTCAATAACATGGTCAAATTAATTTAACTTCAGAACTTGATGAGATGGATTTTTTTTCTATAAACCAATTTGCATTTCGTATTACTCATACCTGTAACACGTATATATGTACAGTAAAATATAGTTAAATGTTATACGTATAAATATTTACTTTGTCGTCATAACAAAATATGTAAAAAAAAGATACTATTTAGCATATATTTAATTTAAAAGTCACCATGAATGAAAAAAATCAATTTTAATCTTTGCTGAAATACGATGAAGATAGCAACTACACTGTATATACAATATTATATTGGGTTATGTTACGAAAATGGCATAGGTATAGACAAGGATGAAAAAAAGGCATTTGAGTGGTATTTGAAATCGGCTGAAGGTGGTAATCCGAATGGCCAACTTAATGTTGGATCCTGCTACTATAATGGCAGAGGTACAGACAAGGATGAAAAAAAGGCATTTGAGTGGTATTTGAAATCTGCTGAAGGTGATAATTTGTATGGTCAATTTAGTGTTGGAGTCTGCTACGAAAATGGCATAGGCACAGGTAAGGATGAAAAAAAGGCATTTGTGTGGTATTTGAAATCGGCTGAAGGTGGCTATTCGAATGGAAAATATAATGCTGGAACCTGCTATGATAATGGCATAGGCACGGACAAGGATGAAATAAAGGCATTTGAGTGGTATTTGAAATCTGCTGAAGGTGGCATTTTGTTTGGACAATATAATCTCGCGGTGTGTTATCAGAATGGAATAGGACAGACAAGGATGAAAAAAAGGCATTTGAGTGGTATTTGAAATCTGCTGAAGGTGGCAATTCGAATGGTCAAGCTAATGTTGGAAACTGTTACTATTATGGCACAGGCACAAATAAGGATGAAAAAAAGGCACTTGAGTGGTATTTGAAATCTGCCGAAAATGGCAGTTCGAATGGTCAATCAAATGTTGGATTCTGCTACGAAAATGGCATAGGCACAGATAATGATGAAAAAAAGGCATTCGAGTGGTATTTGAAATCTGTTGAAGGCGGCTATTCGGATGGACAATGTAGAATCGGAGCCTGTTACAGAAATGGCATAGGCACAAACAAGGATGAAAAAAAGGCATTTGAGTGGTATTTGAAATCTGCTGAAGGTGGCAATTCGTCTGGACAATATAATGTTGGAATCTGCTACGAAAAAGGCATAGGCACAGACAAGGATAAAAAAAAAGCATTTGAGTGGTATTTGAAATCTGCTGAAGGTGGCAGGTCGTCCGGACAATATAATCTCGCGGTGTGTTATCAGAATGGCATAGGTACAGACAAGGATGAAAAAAAGGCATTTGAGTGGTATTTGAAATCTGCTGAAGGTGGATATTTGTATGGTCAATATAATCTCGCGGTGTATTATGAAAAAGTAGATAAGGATGAAAAAAAGGCGTTTGAATGGTATTTAAGGTCAGCTGAAAATGAGTTTTTCGCTGGACAATACCGAGTTGGATTATGTTATCGAAATGGTTATGGAATATCGCCTAATCAAGAAAAGGCTATTGAATGGCTGCAAAAGGCGAAAAGTATTAAATTTCAAAAGACAGTTAATTCTGAAAATCTTGATGATTCATTGAAAAAACTGTTATCTGGTAATAATTTATTAATTTCATGGATTCCATTTAATGAATTAGAATTGGTTAAAAAAATTGGAAAAGGTGGATATGCAACTGTGTATGCTGCTTATTGGGAACGCAGAACTCTGAATGGTGAACTTTTAAAACAAATAGTTGCGCTTAAATTATTACATGGATCAAAAAATAGTTACAAGGAACTTGTAAAAGAGGTAAACATTTGATATGTTAAAGTTTCATATATTTAGTTATTAATATTTATTGATATCTTTTTTTAAAAATTTTGAAGTTAATTGCATATTCACATATTGGAACTAAAAATCCTACATTTTTACAATGCTATGGAATATCAAAAGATGAAGGTACGGGTGATTATATTTTAGTTATACAATATGCAGGAATGGGATCTTTACGTGAGAATCTTTACAAAGTTGCACAAATGAATTGGGAGAGAAAATTGGAATTATTATCTTATATCGCATTCGATCTTCAATTAATTCATTTGAATAACATTATTCACTGTGATTTACATAGTGGAAATATATTTTACATAATGCTTATATCGGTGATTTAGGAATTGCAATATCAGTTAATAAAACATTAGATAAAGAATCGGGAGGAATTTATGGAGCTTTACCGTATATAGCACCAGAAATTTTGCAAGGAAAATCATTCATTAAAGAATCAGATATTTATTCATTTGGAATGATTATGTGGGAGATCTTGTATTTTCCGACTATAAAGGTTATGGTTCGAGCTTAGCTATAGAAATTTGGTTTAACGGATTAAGGCCGAATATTCTGAAAGGCACAGCAACATGTTATGCAGAACTTCTAAAGAGGTGTTGGGACAAAAATCCAAACAACCGTCCATCAGCTATAGAAATTCATGATACTATTTTAAAATGGAAAAATAGTACTGAATATTTGGCGGATTTTTTAAAATCTGATGAAGAAATGGAAATTGAAAATAATGGTTTTAATAATGTGGAGAATAGTACGATTTATACTAACCAATTCATTAGTTATATTTATCAGGAATCATCTGAATGTATAATTGCAAATGAAATTACTTCTATCACCGATATTGAAAGTACGAAATAATCAATCATACTAGTTATTTGGAAAAAAATTACAATCCATATTAAGCAAACGTAGAGATTGTACCCGTCAAGAAAATCTCTACCCGGGTATTATTAAATTACCGGTTATCCAGGTAATTTCTTATAGCCATATAATAAAAGTGCCTACCCGGGTACAATCTCTAAGCAAACGCATATATTTTATTTTTCCGACATGTATATTCCACTGTGAGCCGTACCTTGCAATGATTTAAATACCACTTATACCTGGTAGAGTTGTTAATGGAATGGGGTGGTGTGGAGCGGGTTGGGTTATGATTACATGGAGCAAGATCTATTCCAACCAAACCTAGGTTATACTTTAAATAAATGCTCTGAGTTACATTCTAAGATTATGCTTCTGATTATACTCCAGGCTGTACTCCAAGTTGTGCTCCGAGTCAGGGATGATGATTTTTTGCGGTGATATTTATTTATTTTAAAAATAAATGAATATCACCGCAGAAAATCATCGCCCACTACTCCGAGTTATATATATTAGTTGTATATTATAAAATTATTTCAGGATAATAAAATCCACATTTATATTTTATCAAGAATTAGATGCATACGATTAAAATATCTTGATTTGTATTGATAATTGAACACTCTACATTCAAATAAGCTAATATAATATTTACCTATTAATTTTGATATTGATATTATACATGGCATATTCCATATATATACCATATAAATTGATGTATGATTATTCAATATGCCACATTTGCATTTAAAATAACATAATATTAATTTTTAAATCAGCGGCAGAAAGTAAAATTATGCACTGGTGTAGCATAGTAGTAGTATAGTAGTATAGTATTCATAGGATAGAGAAAAATTTTGCCGTCATTGATTCACTTTCTTATACTGTGTAAAGAATTCTAATGCTATAGTACAAAATAATTGAAAAAAAACAGATGTAATGAAAAAAGAAAACTAACATCAAACTATAAAATTTATAATTTTATCAGTAAGTTGCTAGTATTATGAATCTGATTTGAATATAGCTTATCTACAAAATTGTTAACAGTACTTTAATAATTATTAACTTTATCACTAGTAGTCTTACCATAAATTTAATAGTTTGTTATCATTATATACCAAATTACTATAAATTTTGACTAGCATTAAAACGAAGTCTCGGGCAAAACTAAACTTTATGGGACATCCTAAAATATATAATGACTAGTTTTCGTCGAAACTATGTGATACTATTCATTACGTGTCTCAAATAGTTTCTAATGTGATACGGATTTTTAAGAAATTTGAAGTATAGGCACAATCTGAGAATAATTTACTGTTTGTTTATTGTTAGATAAATTGCAGTGTATTAACATCCAGGTTTAAAATTAATAGAAGTGTGCTACCATATTCTTAAAAAACGTTCTACGTACGTATCGCAATGAAAGTAATGATGTATTCTGAATAAAGCAATAGATGGATGGAAGTTTAAATTGGGAATTCAGTTAATCAACAGCATTGCCAAAAGAAATAAAATAACATGTGAAAAGCTTAATACGTATAAATTATTAGATAACATGATTTCTAAAATTATTCAAGACCCAATATATTTTTGGTATTTTGTCGTTATCGCTACGTTCTTAAAGTCTTTATCATGTGATTAGAAAACCTTATATCAAAAGGAAATTTTTATATAAAAAAAATTTTTTTTCTATCTTTAAGTGCAAAACATTGACGTTAAATTACAGGTTTTTTAATATATTTGTATTTTTTAAAAGCTCCATTCAATGATATGTACGTACAGTATAAACAGACGATCAGAGTGAAGCAATTTATAAGATAAGGACAATTGTAAACGAATTGTATGCAACAAATCAGCGCATTACAGATCGTGTAACTAAAATAATCGCGAGTAAACCAGAATAGTAAACGAACATATCATTATCCTTAGTATGTTTTATTGTTTTGAAACGATTTGATGTAAATTTATGCTTGCTGTTATGTTTTAAATTTATGATAGGGTTATATTTACTGATCCGATGGATAAAATTAATTGTACAATTGATCCAAAAAGGGAGATTTTAAGTTTTATAAATTAAAAATCAGGTGACCAATATAAAATAATACAAAGCAGTAAAAAATATTATTTTGGAGGAAATAAATTTATCCAATGTTTATTCTTTTCATAGATTATATACTGTATTTGCATAATTTTTATAAATAACCGGTTTATTATTTAAATATGGAATTTAGATAATTGGCTACGTACTTGTAAATGAGCTGTTTAAATGCGTAATTTGTACTTCCATCAAAAACAAAGTAATTTGGTTAGATCAACGTAATCGTACGACAAGGATTTAGAAAAAAAATAATAATCTGGTTCTTATAAAATCGCGTTTTCATAGCGGAAAAAATATTCCGCTCATTTCATATTCCGTTTTTTTTTTTTTTTTTTTAGCATTATTTAGTTTTTTAACGCTTATTCAAAAAAATGGTACATAGAAAGTCTTATAATGCAACTTTTTTTCCACTCAAATATTCCGTAAACGAGTAAAATGCTATACGACCTGAAATTGTTTATTTTTAATGTTTATTAGTATCTTCATAAAATTCCGCCTTTAAATTTAATTTATTTAATCGTCAAAAAACTTTAGAAAATGAACTTAGGCACGTGGTTTGAGCAAAATACTTTACACACCCCTTGGAGTAGTAAACGATTGTGTCAAGTTTGCATTTATTGGTCACCAGGCAAATACAGAACAATGTTTAGGCATTTCCAAATGTGAAAGTTCTGGGCAATAAACACCGGTGCTTTAATTTCATGTATACCAAGCAGGGAACTCCCGTTCTAAACATGCAATTTCTTGTCCACGTGATTCTATTGAACATGTGATTAAGAAATGATGACGCAGTAACACATAATCTAATTCTGCCATACCATAACACTAACCCTAAATACTGGAAAATTCATGTGAAGAAATGAGGTAATTTCACTTGTACTATGATACAGATCAGATAATGATGGAATACTGATAACAATTAATAACAATTAATAACAATTAATACTAATAAATATATACAGTAAACATTAGTGCTATTTCGTTCTGGAGTAAATCAGGTAATTAGGTCTTTCTTTTTAAATAAATTCTCCTAAATGCACATTTAAGTATACACTTTTTCACTTCCAAAAGATTTTTTTTTTTTTAACGAATGATAAAATGCATTATCCAGCAGCTTATTATGATTGTGCTGCCAAAATAACTCGAGTTATTTGGCAGTGATACGTCATCTGCCAAATA